AAGCAACAGTACTGTTTAGTTTCTGTCCCGCAGACTTAAAACAGTGGAGCCCGTAAGTAGAAAAGGACACTCTTGGAGTTGCTGTATGTTACGTTGCCTGTGTTTAACATCAAAGCATGACAGGTTCCAAGAGACCAGTCACCAGTTTCATCTGTTTGGAGGAAAGCCTGTATTGAAAATCCCAAAGATGCATCAATGGTCGATGAATGGAGCCTCTCCTTAAGAAGTCTGACACAAGCAGTCTTCTCCCAAGGCACCCACGTTCACGTTCAGCCTATGCTCCCTGCCTCTTGGAGTGGATGAGTAAGTCTGCCTTGGGACTCCATTGTGTGTCTTTTCCTTTTTGTGCACTCTTCTTCTGTACTTAATCCATCTTTTCTTTAAGTTCTCACCAATGCGAGTATTGAGGTTGCTGGCCTCCAATCTTTGGTTAATTTTGGTCTGAGCATTTCATGCCTGCCATTGCCTGATCAGGGATGGGGAGAGATGACAGCTGAGTTGTGAGGATGGTGGACATGAGCTGCTCAGGTCCCACTCGTTCCAGCTCCTCCACAGACCTGCTTTGGCACCTCAGGTTCTGGATTAACTGAGGGAGGATGAAGCTTGTTCCCACAAGCCTTCTGCTATATAGATGATAGGGTCCCTAAATGATTGCTCAGCCTTGTTGGAAATACCTTTTCCCTGAACTAGTTTCAGCTGGCAGGAGACACATCTGTGAGGCCTTATTCAACCTCTTGCTGATGCAGTCCTTTATAAAAAGTATACTGAAGGACATTTATGGCACCTACAGACAGAGGTGTCAATCTGGTGATGTATAGTCCAAGTCGTACGGGGTTTGGTGCCAACAAGAGAGAGGTTTCAAGTCCAGACCACCAAAGGCAATTGTCCTCAATTTGTTCTCAGCCTTCTAGAGAAGTTTACTTGTCGAATCTGGTGCTGTGCGATGTACAGATGCCACGTGAGGCTTGAGAGAAGAGGACACAGGACACGTGGCTGCGTGGCTTGGCTTGCTGGGACTGTGATTTGGGGAAGGGACGAGCTGGCTGCTGGGGCTGTTGGGCAGATGGGACATGACAACGGTCTTAACCACAGATAACCTATTGTTAGATTGTGAAATACGCAGTGCACAGGTCAAAAGTAGCAGTGCTTATGTAAGTATTTCAAGTAAATAAATCTTGTCAGTGTTTTTAGAGTATCTATCTCAGACTACAGTTCCATTGCTCTCAGCCATTTTTGGCCAGTGTGTTCCTTTGAGGTTCCACTGCCTGCGCTTTGTATACACACTCACTGAGCTTTTCCCACATGCTACAACAGCAGGACTTTGCCTTTGGAGGGTGAACTGGAAGTCAGTGGTGAAGTAGTGCTGGGATTCTTCAGTGAAAGCTGCTCTTTAACAGTGAGGGCAAGACTAACAGTTCTGCTGATCGCTGATCGCTGAGCTGTGTAGCGCTTGATAGTTTTACTCTGCCAAATCACCTGGGTAACACACTCTGCTCCAGGTATTTCATGGGCAGCGCTCCCTGATGAGGCAGGCAGGAATAGGAGGAAGGCTTCCTCCCTTTCTTGGACAGTGGCTGGTAGCTGACACTTAAGGAGGAACTATATCTAGAAGAGGGTGCTCAACCCCTCATACACCTTCAGAGACCTGGCACCCAGTCCTGCAGGGCCTTCCTGCAGGCCAGAGTTGAGTCCTGCTCACTGTGTTTAATAACTGCTGGTGGAGCCATCTCCCATGAAACCTCTTCTCTAGAACCCATTTCCTCCTCTGGCCTTCATGATGTCCTGCGTTGGCGAGTTCCACAACTTAATCATGCATTAAGTAAGTGTCTAACAACTCCCTTTGTGTGCATGTTAAAGGAAAGTTATTTTCTTGCTGCTAGTTGGTCTTTGAAAGAAAACAAATCTTACGTGCCAGAAACACTGTTAATAGGATGTTTATCTTGTTGCAATTGCACCATATGGAAACCACGTTTTCCTTACTAGTACCTTTCTTGGGCAATTTTACAAAGGAGAAAAGTTTACACCTGCAGATGACTGTAATATTCCCATTTATAATTGTGTGGGACATGTTACATGAAATAACACGTTTAAGTAAGTTTTATGTCACTGGATTTTACTGCCCTGTTTTACTTTAATATTTCGATGCTTCCTGGTTTATTTGTTCTGTAACTGTGTACGTGACAGTTCAGCACAGAATAGTGAGCTGAATCTCACCCCCTCGTTGTATGTACATCTTTTGTAGAGACATGAGGCATCAGTTATGTGCCCCTCCTGCCCCCCCCACCCCGGTAGGGCTGAATGGCAAGAACTAATTCTATGCTATTGAAAGCCTTTAAAAAAAGAATAAAAAAAAAAAATCTATGCATGCTATTTTATATTCTAATGTATTATTCATATCAGTCCATAAGCTTATGCTTGTCAGTTTTATCTTGTGTATAGAACTGATTACTTTTGACAGTATTTTTGCACTGTTTCTTTTCCTTCTCTTTTTATAAAGTTCTGTTCAGCATTAATTGACTGCAGTAATTTTTTACCCTTTTAACTGTCTTTGTGTAAATAGTTTATGATATGCTTTGGCAAACCCGAGACTGGCTGCAGTCACTAAGGTTTTTGGTAAGGCAGTCCTTCATATTCACAGTATACAATAAACCTTTTTTTTTTTCAAGGAAAACTATGCTTGTGCTCTGTGTTCTCTCCTGTAACAGTTTAAGGTTTTGTGTTTGTACCTACCTTGCTTGTGTCACCTTCCCATGTGAAACTGACAGGCACAGCCAGGGCTGCAGCGAGCTTCGAGAACGTTCTGTAAGGGCAAGGCTCCCGCTGGTGATCCTGCTTGGCTAAGCTGATTCTTCAGCGTTGAGGTATGGTCTGGGTTCCGGAGAGACTTTCTGAAGTGAAGGTGCTACTTCCCTGGATGAGGGTTTACTTGACAAGATAAGGTTAGGATAAAAATAGCTGGTGCCATCTTCCTTGGCTTCCTGGAATCATAAGGCCTGGTGCAGTTTTATGTAGTCCAGCAACAGCTGCTGGTGAGGGAGCAACGAGAGCTTTCAGCAAAATGAAAGCTTGCTCTCCAGCAGTTTTGTTTCCAGAGCAGCGCTTACAAAAAGGAAGTATGATGGAGTTCTTGATGACGAGGTGTGCTCTTTCTCTCACCATACTTTATAAGCTGTGAAAGCCGTATGGAAAGGTCATGCAGTTTTACTGTGCAGCATATTTCAGCTTTGGTGCTGGCAGTACACAGCCACGCTCTGCTTCCTCTTCCCTCCCCCAGCCTTAAAAGCAAGCTCCTGCCGCTCATCCCTGGCAGTGTTCAAGGCCAGGCTGGATGGAGCCTTGGGCCACATGGTCTAGTGTGAGGTGTCCCTGCCCATGGCCGGGAGTTGGAACTGGATGATCTTCAAGCCCTTTCCAACCCAAACCATTCTATGGAGGGAAGAAACACCCTCCAGGCTTAGCTTTCTCTGTCCATACTTAAGTCCTGGATTTTTTCCTAAGAACGTGTTCTTGTTCCTCTATTAAAAGTAATTTCTAACATATGAGTAGAATAGTTTTACTTCACTGGAGGCAAAGGTATGGCTATAAGGAAATACGAGCTCTCCTCTGCACTGAATTCACTTTAACTTGTAAAGAGGGTTAAAAAGCCAGAAGTTGCATCATTCCTGCCTTGTGCAAGCCTTCCAGCTCTGCCATAGGCACCAGCATCCACTGTACAGGACATGCTGAGCTCCAGGGCCTTGCAGTGATGAATCCCCTGGAATTAGCACTGCAAACAAAAATGATTAGTGAGACGAGGAACTGGATACTAAACTAAAAAAGTACAGCTTTTGCTAGTTAGTTAGTTAAGATTAAATGAAACAGCTTAGGCAAAAGTGGATGTCACAAAACTATTGCGCCCAAGAAGGGTCAAGATGACTTTATTTACTTTACACAAATAAGATGATAGACATTAAAATCCACAGAGAAAAAAATGGCCACTTTTGCATATGAGCTGTCAAAAGGCATCACCTTTAAGAAACGATGGATGCCTCCTTAAAAAAAAAAAGGAAAAAAAAAGGCAATTGTAGATGTGTGGAAACTGGGAACGTTTTGCCAGGCCTAAGTGTGTTTGTTATTCCAATTATAGGCCAAATTGTGTTCATACTCTACCACATTTCAAAGCGCTCCTGAAGGCTTCCGTAACAAGGCTTTTAACTAAAGGTTTGAAGGATTGCATAGATTCAAAGGCTCAGTGGTCCTCTAATTCCTTTTTGATCTCCGAAATGTATGGATGATCCTTCCCGTGTGCTACTTCCATGATAGCAATTGCCTATGAAAAGAAAAAACTATTCACACAATTGATTCCTATATAACACCAGGCTATAAATACTCGCTTTAGAGGTTTGAAACAGTCTGACACCTCTGGCTACTTTTTGTCCCCTTGTAGTCATAAACCCAGTAGGAAATAAAATGGAATTCAAAACTAAGTAATAAAGGTTTTACATTCAGAGAACACATCTTTCATCTTACAGGGTCCCACAGCACCTTTCAAAATGATATTCCTGACAAAACTACTTTGAATGCAACCAGCTCCAGGACAGAAAACTGCAAGTGGAGTGGGTGATGTTCTGGCAGAGGACTTGACTTAACCACTGTCAGCCCCAGCTCTGTTCCTACCAGTTCATCCTTCAGCTGTTGGAGCAGGCCCACTGCCGGAGTTGCATTAAGACATTCTAGGCTCGCTTTTGTGAACCTTCCATCAGTTCCAGGGCTACAGCTGCTTCCCAAAGGAAGCAATGGCTCAGGCAACCACTGAGGCAAAAGCACAGTCTTGCCAGGCTGCTGTACTCATCCCTGCTCTGCTCCCAAGAGCCAATATTTCAGGCAGCCAAACCCACTGCCGTGCACGTCCCTGCCCCTCTTCACCCTGCGCTGTGGAGTGGGTGCAGAGGCAAGATTCCCACTTGAAAGTCTGAGACCATTCAAAGCCCACCGTGCTAAGCTCAAGCAACGAATGGTGACATGCCAGCCCCCAGAGCACGTAGGCATTTTCTCCTCAGGAAACTCTTCTAGAATTATGCTCTTATATTTAAATCAGCGCAATAAGAGCCTTTGGTTCCACCTCAGGAGCAGTTGAGAACTGACTCCACTGCTGCTCCTGCCCAAAACAAGAAAGGAAGGAGGGCCTTCTGGAGGAGCTGGTTGCAAACAGACAGAGAACAATGGTTTTGTTTTTCCACTAAATCCCAAACAGCAGGGGCTGGGATAACTTTGGGCAGTTCCCGTAGGCCGCTTTTGGAAGTGAGTCATTAGAAAACATTTGTGTTAGGAAGTAAGCGAACTATGCCAACAAACCTACCTCCAGTTCCCAGCCCCCAGCCCATGTTCCTACTGGCACAACTCCCAGTTTTAGTCAAAGCTTTAACACCACAGTGAAGGAAAACCTATGTTAAATTTGAGCTAGGTAACAGTTAAGTTTTAGAGTATATATTTGTGTAGTATCTATCACCATGGCTCTGTTATTGCTGGCTAGAAACTTGCCAGCGTCTAAAAAGGAAGAAAGAAACCCCAACTATGGTGCCATTCCACACCAAGTCATTGTATGCTGCAGTAGTCACTGAGGCCTAAGAAATGACAATAAACTTCTGTCCAACAGCTACAGGGGAAGAGAGTCAAGAAACATGGTACAGCCTAATAAAAAAACCCCTAAAGCATAAGGGAATAGACTAATAAAAAGGGGTGAAGAAAAATAGAAGCCCAAATGCTGCATGTGCCAACTTCAGCATTACCAGATGCATTGAATTCCCTTCAGCTATTTAAAAATCAATTTGTTCCAGGACAAATAACTACCAAAAGCATGCCTAGTTTAACTTGGATATAGAAATCACAGGCTTCATGGAAACACTATGTACCTTTTCCAAGAGCCAAGCATTTTCTCTGTCCTTACCTAGCAAGCGAGAAGCTGGAGTTCTCCATTTACACAAGCACAGCTCTAGCTCAAGGAAGAACATATAGCAAATGTTTAAGCATATATATGAGTCCATATGACTTTAAGCATACGACTCCAATTCCTGCAGAAGTCCATCATGACAAGGCAAGACCCCTTGCGTGCAACAACAGACCAATACTGCAAAAGGAAAACTGAGCCCAAAATCTAGTAACCAAATAGATGATTAACACATGGTGCATTTCCTACCAAGCCCGGCTTGCTGACAGAGCAGCACGCAGTGTTTTCAATGAGCCCATGCCTGAACTGGTACTGTTAATGAAGAAACCTGGAAATAAATACCTTCTTCAGGGCTTTAACTCCAGCCGGTCTGTTCTCCAGCGCCATGTAGAGTCTCCCCAGTTTCAGCCACATAGAAGCAACATTCAGCGAGTAGGGGGGATAATGTTTACTGCAAGAGAGAAAGGGACTCAGCTTGATCAAACCTGGCAGTTTCATCGCATTTCCCCAGCCCCTGCATCCCTCCTGGGGGCAAGAAGCTGCCTCTCGCTGCCCCTGCCCATTCACTGCTCATCCCACTGCTGTGACCGCCAGGAGCCAGCGCCAGTTGTGCCTGGGATGGAGACGCCTGTCCGCTGGGAATGGAACTGAAACTGCCATATGCCTCGGAACAGCTGTCAGATGGCAATGACTTTCTGCCACGAGTTTTAATCTAGCCAGCTACAGAAAGAGGCTGCATTGTTAGGAGGGTTTGGAGCCACAGAAGTAACTCTGCCTATTCCACAAGATTTGGTCTTTAAGGCAAGGCGAGGGGCCCTCAGCAGCTCTACAGCACACATGCAACCCTGTGCTCACACTAAGCTAGCACGGTCCAGCTCAGCAGAGCTGACCTGGAATGCCAGGCTCCAAGCCAGAGGGCCTGGGCAAGTCCCAGGGAAGATAAATAGTACTGCACCCCCAGAAGGGGGAATGTTGGCTCCTTCTTTGTATTGCTGCTCTCTGCCAAGCGATCTGTGACTTTATGTTGGCATCTGCTCCAAAGGGAGAGCTTTACTTGCACTCCCCCCAGCTGGCAAGAAAATGATGTCTCAAGATGAGAATCTGCTTGGGAGATTTATGGCAGGATCAGATACAGCATGTAACTGGCTGGCTCTGATGAAGGAGATCACCACTGTGAGAACACAGGAGGAATGACTGGAGAGGGGACGGAGTTCTCCCTGCGGAGGCTCTGTGCTGCCTTGCCCCACATGGTCCTGTAGCCTGTGCATCTCCCACACCTCCAGCACCAGGACGGTGGAGCTCCGGGACCACAGAGCACCCCCAGCCCCCCAGTGCCAGAGCTGAGCTCAGCTCCAGCTCCCTCTGCTGCTCAGCCCCAGCCTTGGGTATTGGAAAAAGGCAAGGACTGGGAGAGGGCAGGAGGCACAGCAACAGCTTTGCCTCCACTACCTGATGCAAACTGAAGCTCTGCTTTAGTCAAGTATTAGGATATTAAAAACCCCCACAGTCTAGCTGAGCAGAACTAGCACAGTCCCCAGGGTGGTACAGACTTACTTTGAGAACACAAAGCAAGGCTCTCAGGCACCTTCTGCTATATCGTGCAGACCACTTTTTGACAGAAACAAGATCTATCCCAGCATTAAACATTCCTTTTCAAGCAGTGATGTTATGGGTAGCATGTTTATACAACATGTACTGAAAGAAGCGAGCTCTGCCCAAATTTGTCTTAATTATTCAGCTAACTGAATTAGCACACTAAAAAAAAAAACCCAAGGAGTCTCATATTTACCTGTATGGTCTGATAATTTTTTGCCCATAACGCAGTGCACCTTCCCAGTCCTGCACGTAGAGACACACACCCATGGCCTGGTACATCATATGTAACATATAAACATTGCTGTTTTCAAACACTGCACCCATCTTGTCCAGGCTGAGCTCACAGATCTCCAGTAATTCACTAGGAGGTATGAAGTCAAGGAACCCAATAAATAGATGGCCTCTCATTAGACAACTACCGGGTAATGCCAAAGCAGCACAGACTTGACCTTGTTCATAATGGTTCTCAGAAGTCCTCTTTTCTTTCAAATGGCATCAAAGCATCTATGCTACAACCCCAGAGCTACTCTGAGGGGTATTTTATACTCAGAGGTATATTCTGCTCATGAGTTTGCTCCCCTCCTACTCAGATATTCTACAAAACTAGCTTTCAGATTTAAAAAGCAACAAAAAAGCGGCTTTCCTGGACCACCACCGCATCAACAGTGTGTCGGAAGAAGGGGCAGTGAAATTCCCCAAGCAGCAGGTACTGAATCAGGCATGAGACAGCCTGGTCTGCTGCTGGCCCCACGAACCTCGCAATTTTGCCTGCGTCACAGCAGTGTTGTAACATCCAGGCTTGTGACCCCCAGCAATAGCTGCAGCCTCACATGCTCTGTCTCAAAGCAGGGCACCATGACAGCAGAGTAACGCAAGCACACACCTACACTCGCTCCAGCCTCTGGCTTGCTGTGTGGAGACAGCCGCCTGCTGCACTCTTCAAAACTGAGAACCACACAGGAAGGAACAAACACAGGATCTCACAATCCCACACCACCAAGACAGCTTTTCAGACACAAAGAGGACAGAGGTAACTTCTAATGGTTACACCATTTCTCCCACAGGTACCTCAGAAGCAATGCAGCAGGTAAGGTTTTTAGGTCCCACACCAAGCCAGACGAGTCAGGGTGAGACAAAGGATATATTTGTAGTGCTTGGCTCTCCTGAATTCCTCAATCACATTCCTGGCATATTTGATCATGTCCCGCACTGTCTCTGCTGATGGAGGATCATTCAGCTTGCAGATTTCCAGTTTCTCTTTATCCTGAAGGAAACACAATAGACATTATAAATCATGTTCCAAGCCCTACAAATAAAGGTGCACCTGCTACACAAAATTACTCTAATAAAAAGACACAGATGGGGACTTAAGCTCTTCAAAGAACTTAAAAACAAAGGTAAAATGTGCACCTGCAATTTTCCTCTAAAGCCTTGGCTAGGAAGCCTAGAATGCTCTGTGCCTTCCAGTTCATCTGCCATCCTCTGCTTCCATGAAGTCCCTTTCTTTTGAAAGATCCAAGAGCTTTTCAATGTTGTGATGAAAGCAGTTTTACATCGGAAATTTCACTGCTTACAGAGATTAAGGATTAAAACTAATTTAGTTTTAAGGCTAGAAAAGCCAAAATACCTTGGGACTAGCACCAAGTGTCAGCTCATTTGAAAATGAGATGTTATTGAATACAGATCTTCGTATCTACAGACACGTTTCCACATACTTTGTGGTTTCTGCTGGACAGCTCCACTTACTCTTATCTTTCTATCTGACTTGCTATACTCCGTGAGGAGTAAACTGCAATCTGGAGACAACCTTTGGCTGTTTAAGCCTCACATTGTTGCTAGATGTCTTTTTCCTTTATTATCATCTTCCAGCTGAGAGGGCTATAGGGGACTCTTTCTGCAGTTGGAGGATGCTGAGTTGCAGGTGATCCCAGGAGTAACACATCGTTGGAAATCACAGCAGAAATCCTGGCTTCATTAAACTCAGTAGCAAAATTAGCAAAGTAACTGTGGGGAGAAACACAACTACAGTATCAACAGAACAGCCCCAAACGAGAATACTGGGTACTGTTTGCAAAGAGTTACAGAAGATGCTACCAGTTAGAGGAAGGAGAGGGTTGTGGGTCAGTCTGGGAAGCAGCTCTTAAAAAAAGACACCTTTGTGAAAATGGGGGGAAAAAGTATCTGGAATTATAAGGATCAGATGATGCCAACCAGAGTGATCTTGGCTGGAACGACGGATAAGCCACACAAAGCTTAGTTCTCCTTGGACCTCCAGTGAAAGAGGTGCAAATGGCTGCACAGGTACACTTGTTTCCGTATCTCTCGGATTTGGGTACCTTATTTTGTCCCCCATAAGAGCTTTTCTTCAAAATAACTAATGCCTTGCTTTAAGGAACACTGTCTCAACACCTGCCTTTGTCCTTTGAAGGCACCATATGTCTTATGAACATAAATCTGGCCTGCACATCACAAGGGGCCACCCTGTCCACGAGAACATGGTTTTAATGCCATTGCAGGATTCCAAACCATCCAGCAATGTCTTACTATGTCACCTAGAACTGGCTGAAATGTCCCAACCAGGAACTGCAGCAGGACTGTACCCCAGAAATGCTCCAAGCAGGAGTCACTCACTGGGAGCTGGTAGGAAACATGCAGTTACCAAAAAAAGTGAGTTTTGAGCTAAATGCTTTTGGTCAGGTAGTGCAGACACAGTGTAATTATCTACTTTTAGCAGAGTTTTCATCTTTGCTTTGTAGCTCAACTTTAAATAGGCCTCTACCAAGAAATTTCCTGACCTGTCATGATTACAGTGGAAAGAATGAGCATCAGAAAGTCTTGTAGACAGAAGAACAAAACCATCCCACCCCCTTTATCCTGCTTTCCAAAACGTAATTCAAGATGGAATATTACATCTAAGGAGCTGGGTAGGCACCTTGCCAGTCAGAAGCATATTTCACACCAATTTTATTACCTTTTCTTTGGTAACACACTCCCTGCAATCACAATCAAAGAAATAGGAGTCTCTTAGCCGGTTATTTCTGTCTTCTGTGGGATACAAGAGGTCAATATAGCTGGTGAAAACCTATGCAGTAAAAACACAGCAATCAGTGAAAAGCAGTGTAACTATACATATTTATCACTACTGCTTCTGGTGTATGTAGTATGACAGCTACACATTCATGCAACCCCGTGGATCCCCGCAGCCATATCACCTGCCTGTTCCCTCACATTCCAAGCCTCTCGGCAGCACCCGGAGTTGCAGTTTGCAATCTCACAGAGAAGTGTTTCCTTTCCTGTTCATTATGGAATTTCCCTCAAATACTACCCTGGCTTAAACCCAGGACAGCAAGATTCAGGTGTGGATAAGGGAACTACCACAGCATAAATCTCGGGTTCCTGTCAGACTACAAAGAGACGCCTACTTTTCATAAGTAAAATAATGATTTCAGGTATCCCGCGTAGGCTAAATCACAGTGGCCTGGTTTTTTTGGAGCTGGAATCTCAAATTTTTCTTTCTGAAAACCTAAAAAATTGGGGCAACAGCAGTCGCTGGGAGCTTTAGAAACTTCGGACAAGACCTTTAGATCTCAGAAGAGAGGCCCAGTGCTCCAGTTCTAGGAGAATGAATACCAGATTTACTTCAGCAGCAATATTTTAGAGCAAAGAAAACCTGCTTTTGAACATGTTAAAAGCCCTTCATACTCGCTATTCTTAAGTTTTCCTCCACTTCAATGGTCTTCAGAAAAGAACCCCTGCAACTAGCTTTAATGCTCTAGTTTTAAAGTGAGATCTCCCCCAAGAAACATGTCATGCACAGTGCAGTTGATCATTTTGCAGACTGAGGAACAGCTTTAGTTCCATTTCCTCATTTCTAGCTATTTGAAATGTTTTGCTCAGTCTTTATGCTTAAAGTTTCTTTCTTCTTTAAAGTCAAATGTAGGTGTAATTTCATACAGTACATGTTCTTCTGATTCTGTGCGATCTCACACTTTCCCTCACACTCCTCCCTCCCTTATTTTCAAAGCACGAATTAACGCTGGAACCGCATTTACACCCGAAACGCTAAAAACGTTGCGATGCAATGACTCCACTGAAGCTGAAGGTGGAGACACAGGCTGTAAGACCGCACAGAGCCCAGCAAAACCACCACCTCGCGTTTCTGGAGTGTCAGAAGAGTGAACTCACAAAAGCCACGACGTCCTGGAGAACTGATGCAGCTTTTTAGACACAACTCAATCAAAAGAGTATGCTACGCATGGTCAATACTCCGCACCACTACCTCTCAGAGTCAGCCCTCCCCAAAACCACTGAAAACACCTGGAATAACCACAGTAAAACTCCCTTACCAGGATCAGCCCTTGTCCATTACCACAATGCATTTGCCAACATCACAGACCAATCACTGTGTTAGTAAATGGCATAAAAAGAAGTTGCTCACACGAGTCATTCACCCTTCCAGCATATACGCTCCTTTTGTTCGCAATGGTGAACAGCTGTAATCCACAAAAATAATCTCCCTCGCCCTCTCCAAAACTGTCACACACTTCAGAAGCAACAGGAGTTACCAAAACCAAATCTGAGCTTATTTTGAGCAGCATTAACCTTGCCTAAATTAACATTAACAAATGAGCCATTGAAACTCTATGCAAACTGGCAAACTCCATCCCCAGAGAGAGTGTTCCGCAGCTTCACCCCCTGCAGATATTTGAACATCCTCCTCTAGTCTGTTTAACATCTTTTCTCTTTTCTTTTTCAAACAAGAAGCAGCCCTGCCAAGTCCATTATTTGACTGAGAAAGTTTCAAGGTAAACCCAGAGCCTTACTCAACTGCCCAGAATTTTAGCCACCACTGTTCAGTTTCACTCCACCTAAAACCCCACTCCTGTGCTCCTGGGAATTCCCAGCAAACACTGCTGAGGTGATACAACTAAGTCCCATGTTTTGTGGATGCTGTGTCCAAACAGAAGTCAGAGGACTTATCTGTACCCATTTACCTTGTTTATTCTGGCTTCAATTCTAATACATCACTATTATACTGGGAACTATTACAGCAGTAATAATTTGCTTTGATCTTGGAATTTCAAAGCAGCAGCCAAACATCAGTAAACTCAGCCTCATTTTACAGCTGGGTAAAGTGAGACAGAGCTGGCAGATACACAGTGACTGCTGCAGGTGCCCTTCCCTTGTTTTAACACAAAAGAGGACACCGCCTCCGAGAATCCCTCCAGACCCACCCCAACTTTCCATAACAACATCTTACACTTGTCTGAGAAACAAGACCCTTCCTCCCTATGATTAAATTGATTGGAATGAATCCTGAAAAGCAGAACGGACCGTACGCTTAGGATGTGTGCATACAGAGTACTTTCAAACACAGTGCATTTACCTCCTCTCCAGGCTCAATCTCTTTAACAGCTCTGACTTCAGCCAAGGTCCCCTTGTAAGTTACAATCACATTTGGGCAACAACTATGGTTCATCAATGCAACACTGCAAAAGCAGAAAAGTAAACCTTTTAACCCACCACCAACAGCAACAGGCAAAGAGCTACGCACCACTTTACAAGTAAGTCTGAAAGACTGAGTCAGTCTCCCTCTGTAAGCTGTATTCTGAGGCTTAACATGAAGGTAACCTTGGTAAAACCTGTTGTAGTGTTATTTATTGTAATGATACGAAGAATGGCTGTGCTAATGAATCATCACAGTTTTTTAATCCCATTATTGCAGGACCAGGCAACTTATTATTTCCCCATTCTTACAGTGCTACGGGACAGCTAACAGAGGCATTCACATAGCTTAACTATCTACATCCTATTTAGGTACCCTTGATAGACAGACTGTTTTCCTCAGAGGAGAAAGGAAGAGAAACAAATTTAACCTAAAGGAAACAAGCAAATACAGGAAAACAGAAGTCATTTGCTGCACCACAACCTAAGGCTTCTATGAAAACGTAAACAGCCTCCATTTGTGAAGTGGGGAAGGAAGAGATCTCTCTCACACAAGTACACAGCTTACAGAAAAACTTGGGCCTGCTAGAGAAAAGCACTCCCCCTTACTACCAAGCTTGGAGAAAGTGCAATTTGCTGCTTATTTGAGATAAAATGTATAATTTTAATTCTTTCTCTAGCAAAATCATAATTGTCTCTTCAGCCTTTTAAGCTCACAGGCATAGCTGTTAAGTAGGAAAGATCTGGCTCTTGCACACTGATCATTTACAAACAAAGGGCGGTGTTAGACATGTTTCCAGAACATCCTGGTTTCATTCTCTCCTCTCCCCACCATGACTCTGATCCTGGGTATTTCAAGGGCTTAATTTCCAATCTGTAGATCACAGATATGGACTTCAGACAGGCCTGCCTGCAGAAGGGGAATCTGTGAAGCAAGGACTATCTACTATTGTCTGTATGCAGCACTTAACAAAATCAGGTCCTGCTTCATATTTGGCATCTGGAAGTTTCAGATTACTTTGACACAGATAAACTACTAGTAATCTATGCCTCACAAGGAAGCCAACCTAAGCAGACAGTGATAACACTTTCAGTACAGGGCTTGCAAAGAACAGGGCTGGAAAATATCCTTCATTGCTACATGGAGTGGGAAGGACAGACTTAAATGGAAGAAATGTTCCTCAGCCTTAAAGAGAGCTGTGCTCCCCCAGTTAACAACATCTGCAGTTTACTTGTAAAGCTAAGAAACATGCACCTATTTTTTCCACTGCCATAACAAGGAGGCTGAAAGAAGATATGAAAGGGATTTACTGTTTGCCAAGGAACAAAGGTAGAAGGGATGTTGTTAAGAGAACACCAGGTGAAGGATTATATCCAGCCAAAACAGAAAGTTGTGAATAGAGCAAGTCACCTGCAATCCTCTCCATTTTGCTTTGATCATTACATGATGTCCCTGTCCAAAACCTGCTAGCCAAGGAAGCGTTTCCTACCAACCTGCATGTAGTTCATAATCTAAGCTTCAAAACAAATCACAAGTGCAATTTTACCAAAATCACCAGATATTTAAGGAAACCTGCAGCAAACCTTTGGCCGCATTTTATTTGCTAATCAAAGACATTTAAACCAAGACAATTATGTGTTTAATTAAATTTCTTTCAGTAAAGATCTACATCCATAGATGTGCAAGAATCTTCAGGGGTTTTAAAATAAGTTAATTTTACTTGAAAAATATTAACATCCACCTACTCAGGAAATATGGCTGATCCCAAATGAGAGAGTTCTTCGTCTTCAATTGTGAAGCCATTACAGTTAACCTAAGGAAAAAAAGGAAGAGACTAGATCAGCTTCTGGTCAGCTGAGCACTCCACACTCACATGGCACCTTCTCATACTTCAAAGTCCACTGCAGTAATTTGCTTACAGTTTTCTTTCCACCTCAGCAGTACTCACAGAGAGCTACAAGACACCTTAAAAAGTGAAGACAAGGCCCCTGTTCAAAGGAACGTGCAGAACACTAAAGAACTGACAGTCCCAACACTTGCACCTGCTCAGGACACGGTGTTGAGTGGCTGCTCCTTGGGAAGCCCACCAAGAGAAATGGGGCTTGAAAGTGTCAGGCCATTGCACAAAACAATGCCCGACACTGACAGGGCAGAGAGTCCTCATTTGGCCATAACAAATAAAGGGCCAGAGTAGAAATGCACGTATCAGGATGTGGGGATGAACAGCAGCAAAGTCAGCCAGGCTGGGGCAGTTCACAGCCTTCATGGAGCATATGGTACAGAGACCTGCCACAACGACAGCTGTCACCAAGCACTGCACATATCAGCTACAGCTAAAACACATATAAAGAACAACAAAGGCAGTGAGAAAGATTCGAGCCTAATAGAGACGCAGGAAGGAGAGGACAGAAGAAGGACAGAGTAGGAGAGGAAATGTATTCCTAATTTAAACAGACACAGGACCAAAAGAGCTTGTTTGTAAGTCTTTTTTTATAGAATAGATTCAAGCAGGTTTTAAAACCTTCTCCCTCTTTCATTTCACTAAACTCAAGGGAATCTTACAGGAGTTTCAACTTTGTTTAATGTGGTTTGTGCAACTAAATGTCCAAAATGCACCTCAATCGAGTACTTTAATCTGCTTTCACTGCAAGTCACATATATGTCAACACGAAGAGAACCCTCTCCACATGCACCAACATCTCCCTGCAACCTAAATGTTCACAGAAGCACCAGTAAAGGACTAGAACAACTACTACTACTAGCACATGGCTAAGTCCAGCTGAAGCTAAAATGGGCACAGGAACAGCCAATCAAGTAGAGTAAGTATTTGTTCTGGAAGGGTAAGAGTTGACAACAAATGCTACCAACAATGGTACGTCCCACAAGCTGGAATGCAGCTCAGAATGGATTTTAGAAATATACAAATACTTCCCAAAGCCACTCCTGAGGTATGAAGTGTTCAGGATGAGTTCACAATTAGAGTCGTGTTTCTCTGATTCACTCACAAGTACCTTTGCTTGATCTTTATCCTGCTATTTTTAGCAAGGTAGGATCCAAAGGCTCCCTGTCTCTCAGGATGGGTATGCTACTGCTCTAGCCAATGCATGAGCATACCTGAACCAAAACCAAAATGTAACTGCTGAATACAAAAACAATAGGAGGGAAAGATAATATCAACAGCAAGTGAGAACACAGGGCTACAAAGGCTGAAATGAAGAACAGCCTGATGGTTCTGAATCACAGGGAAATATTTAAAAATATGTAGTCAGTTATCATCAACTCCCTCCACTAAGCCACAGACAACCCACTTCTTGAATGCATCATATCAGAAATGACAGAAGGGATGAGATACCACTGGTTTCACCTGATGAATGCATGACTAAAAAGGGCAACGTGGAGAGGGTAAAGAGACAACAGTGAAAACACCAGAGCTTGAGGTTGTTCCCAGTGGTGGAAAAGAGAATGTGCAAACAGAGGCATGAAATTATGCAAGGTCTTCTAGGAAGGGATGAGTTCAGGAACCTGAGAAAAGAGAGAAACTGTTTGAAGAGTATGACAAGGTGAGACTGAGGAACAAGAGCACCAGTCTCGAGAGCTGTGTTCTACAGGGGCAAAAGAGAGACTGATACCAGCACCTGGGGAAGAGAGCAGTGAAAGGCAAGGATGGTTTGGACAAAATCTTTGCTCTACTCTAAAGGACTGATTATACCTTAGCTGTGTTGAGTAAGAAACATCACACAAAGCCCACAAAAAGCAGTGAGCAAGGAGTCAGAGGTATCCAAGTCCCAAATGACTGCCCTGAGCCACAGGGAGAAGGAATGCCAAATGGAGAAGCAAGGTACACAACATGAGGCCAGAGGAAGTGTTGAAGCAAAACAAAGGAGCAGCTGCATATCCATACCATCAGGTTTAGCTCAAGTTCACTAGATCTTAGGAAACGTGTTTGTACATATCAAGTACAGACACTCCTCCCCTTCTTCTAGGAAGATTTATGCTGGGGCTAAAACCTCAAAAGACTGTGTCCTGTAAAACACTTCTGAGGAGCATCTGAGTGACCTTTGGAGATTTTAGTTCAAGAAATGGTAAAGTCCACAGTGGCAGATGATCAGGGTGAGCTTAAGGGGACAAGTAGGGATGACATTAAATCTCCAGAGAAGACTAGATGAAATCCAGTCCGTGCCTCTGCTTGCGTCTGGGAGTCAGCAATTCACAGAAGTCAGTTAAAGTACCATGATCTGGTGGAGCTTGTGCAGGACAGGAGGTGAAGTGAAAGTCATAGCCCAAAATAACATAACCTTTGGGGATTCTGGCCACATTCTAACAAAAGTATTCAGAAACACCCCAAGAAATTGGATGTACTGATGTCTTTGAAGCATCCCTCTGACAAATACAAATTGTGAAGTCTTCACAACAGAAAGAACTTTTCATTGAAGGGAAAAATATCATTAGAAACAACACAATGGATGATGAGCAGATGCTGAACATGTTAAAGAATCATTCCCCTACAGAGTAATAGTACCTCTGTATTAAGGAAATAGTAACTGTGCCAGGGTCCTGCCACCTCAGCTTTCATCACAGCACTCAACGCTTGCCCCTATCTCAAACAAAACTAAACTTTTTACTCAGATGTTGAAGTTTAAAACTAGCTTATTTTGAAGTACCAGGAAAAAAAAAGGAAGAAAATGGATCTTTCAGTATTCCACTGGCGAGTTATTCCTTCCACTACAATACATTCAATTTAGATGCATATGAAGAGTAGGTGAGAAGAAAAAAACCCACCACAAAAAAGAGGTGACATTTCAGAAGTTATCTAACAAGACACGCTGCCCTTCCTTCATCTCTCCAGATGACCAAACTACCTGACTGCATTTAAAAGCCACACACCAGATCAAAGTTTCAGACTGCTCTTTCTACTTCTCTGAAGTTTACTCCCTGTGAAGGTCAAACACAAGGATGACCCAACCCACAAGGATTTCCACAAGTTTGAAGCCCGAATGAAGGATTTTGCTCCTGCAGGGTCTCAGACCAGCAGCCCTCTAAGTCAAACAAGAGCTGCGCTATCCTTGGCACACAAGAAGCCTAACCTAATACAGGCTGTTTCCCCCTTATCTTCAGTGTTTGAGAAGCACCTCACAGAAAACCTGCAGACAAGAGCCTCTTCCCTACTGAAATGGGACATGTCCAGCCGCTTGTCCTCGAAGAAGTGGATCTTCTCCATCAAGCACACTCAGCTCTAAGTGAAGTGCTACCACTTCCACTGCCATCAACGTTTCCTCCTTTCACAAAGCCTAAACTCCTACAGCACCATCCACCTAAGCAGGCTGTGTTCTAACCCACTTACTTGTGCAAAGAGAACTACAAGGGCAGCATTGTCAGGGTACTCCAAGTGCTTTGAGTAAAAGTGATGAAGAGCAGCAATGTCGTTCTGAATCAGCTCTCTCTTTTCATTGTCTAGTTTGTCAAGGTCTGTGGACAAAGAATACATTCCATTTCAGTAACAGGAACACTCCCCCATGAACTGCAGCTAGACTTAGGTTAGAACAGGACTGGACTGAAACAGAAGCCCTTTAAGGAACAGCTACTTGGAAGTACTGCAAGAAGTGTCTGTTCTTCCATAAATGTAATGCTGCTTCTGCCCAAGCCACACGTGCACTACAAGAGCATGCAGGATTACAAAACATTTTCTAACATCTTTACATTAGCAGGTAACTGGACACACATTTCCTTTTCTGGAAGAAGGGTTACAGTCTTTAAAGTGTATTTGTTAACCCTAACAAAACAGGCCAGCAACTGTGGGTACCTGTCCTCAGCTGTCTGACACAACCTTATCAACCACCTGGTCCCATCTACAGTGGTATGAAGTCACAGTAAACATCACAGTTCTTAAAACATGCTTTACATAGTGGAACTTCCTCATACGGACCTAACACTTATAGGTACAAGCCAGCCCGGAAGGCTGCTTATCCCTGCTTTTAAAAGATGTGGTCTTTCCCAGCAGGGAAACTAACTATTTGTGGCCATGTGTGACAGGGACCTAACAAAGGTTGACAGCAATGCTGAGGCTGGTCTCCAGGAGCTCCCTTTGCACCAAGAGAAGGATAATATGAGGGTGCCCAGGAGTGCAATCCTCCTGACCTTCTGCAGGCACCTGCTTCAGGAAGTAACCAACAGTGCCTAAGAATGCCCATGTCTCCATCAAGGTATGTTTAACCTGCAGATACCGGAGGATAAAAGGAGACAGCAGGAACATCAGTGGAAATATGCTGGCACACCAGCCAAGTGTATTTCCTTATGGGTTTGTTGAGATTTACCCTTAAGCCCATGACAGGTTCTAGCCAAAGCTGTGGCCACTGAACTTTTTCCTGTCTGGTCTATGCAAGGTACATGATGGACCATATACTCCTGGTCACTTCTCTCTCCTTAAGAGTAGACTGTTGGGAAATTTTTTCCTAACACTCTCCCTCACAGTGGCAAGTGTCACCAGCTCACTCCTGCTCTGAGAGAGCCAGTAACTCATCAGCTTTCTCTCTCCAACTCAAAATAATTAGTGTAGAGAAAAATCATGCAGGAACCAAAAAGGCTGCACAACAGTGGAATGGGGAAATGATTTATAACAGCAGATGTAAATGACAGGAGAGTCACAAAAAAGAAAGAGGAAAATGAAATGGGACAATTTGATGAGAATTAGGACAAATCAGAAATAAGAACTTTTGAGCTTCTGACAGTGAGGTGCCTTTTCCTCTCCTTGCAGGGTGTTCAACGTGTAAGGCAACTGCTGAACATGACAAAGGTGTGCTAAGAGATGAGGAGAGTCAACAAGACAGAGGAACAAGGCTTTTACTAACAGAACCATGGCCTCCTAGATGACAAGGGGGACATTGCAACAGAAAAAAAACATTCCAGCCTTTTAGCTCCTGAATTAATAAATTACTGAAGACAAGCTGCAATGCAGAAGAATACACAGAAATTACTTCAGCACTTACCCATCCTCCTCAGCCTCAATCCTACTAACCTACCTGTAAAACTCATCCTTGCCTTAGGTAAAGGCAAATGTTGGCACTTTCCCCCTTTATTTCCCCAGCTGTCCCAAGAGCTTTGACAGGAGCTTTCATTCAAGGAAGCAAGTAAGACTGTAGTGTTGCTGTGCTTGGTTACTCTGCTACCTCAAGTCCTAGTAAGGACTGAATTTATTCAGCATTTTATAAAGGGTTGTGGAAGCCATCAGAGTGAGAAATATGAATATACAAATCTATTATCTCCTTGTATATTACCCCCAGCATCAAGAAACAGAAATGACAGACCAGTGAATGCTATGCCAGGCTGGTTACTAGTCCCCCAGTTGCTCAGCTTCTAACTCTGCCTCACAGGACATAAGCAGGAGCCCTCCAGTTAAAAGCAAACCATTGCCTCATCTCCTTCCTTGGATTATTTTGGAGGATTTAGGACATGGAATTTCAACACAATTATATACAACATGTCAGATTTGACTGGCAGTGACAGATATTGAAGCACAGGCCAGAGGGTACTGCAATTAGCCCCTTAGTCACTGTCACCATCAACCAACTGTGCTGTCTCTGATTTTATGCCTCCTGGTAACAAATACCAGCTATTTTAATTTTACAACATCACAATTCTCAAAAGACACTAAAGTACCAGTATCCACAAGATGGATGTATGCTACATAATTAATTCTGCCCAGGTTTTCACCCTGTTTCATAGCCCCAACAAGC